AGTGTTTTCCTGTCTCCTATGTACTTAAGGGTGTTGCTTCATGTTCTGAAGGTGATTACCAGCCAGTGAGAATGACCTTCCTCAACATCTTGACACCGAAGTTACGCATAAAGGCCATGAGTGCACGGCAAATCAAGAGAGTATTGGTGTTCATCATCCAAGCATGCTGTAAAGCTAAGAATACACCTACCAAAACATCATCTATACCACATTTGTAAAGACGTCAGTCACAGAGTTTAGTTCAAACAGGTCTGTAGGGGCAAAGAGTTCTCCAACTGACTCTTCTGTTTGGCAGAACAACCCAGCATGAATGGAGTCCTGCAGCAGCTAATACTAAAACAGGGTGCCATAACGAAGGAACTGGAAGAGCAACAAGGGTGTCTGGGCTGAGGGTCATCAAATGAAATGAAGAAAGGTTCATCGAGTAATTTTCTGGTGACTTCTTCTTGCAAGAAACCTTCCTTCCTCAGGAACACATATGCAAAAGAAACAAATGTCACCAGAAAGTAAGGAAAATCAGACTCACTACATCTATAGTAAGTTAAAGACTCAGGTCGCCTGTTCAGCTACAGGGACACAAATACAGCACCATCTAGAGCACTGCAATGCCATAGCGAAGAATGATCATAAGCACTGATTTTAAACATGAAACTGGCAAAGAAATAAAAACAGAAACACGTAATACAGAACTGAAAAAAAGAAAACAAGAAGTACAGTGCAAAATACAAAATTGAACAATGAAATGGACCAGAGACAGGAGATAAAGAAACAGTAAATCTGAAAGAAATAGGAAGGGCTTAGAAAAAAATGTTTTGTCAAAGCTGTATAGCTACGGCACTATGCTAGTAAAGCAGGAGATGCAGGGTTAAATCCCAACATGCCGAAGTGGTGACTGAACTCAGGTCTAGCTTTCTCTGGGAAAGGACTTTAACCATGTTATGCCATAAAGTTATGACAGCAGCAGCAACACTTCAGTATTTAGAGAAGATATTACAGATGCCTGTACCTATGAAAGATCTGTGGTTTTGATCCTGACACCACTCTTCAGACATGCCTGAGCTTAGCAGAGCTCCGTGAGAACAGCAACAGACAGTTCCCTGTGGGCACCTCTGAGTGGCAATCCAAGTTTTCTCCTGGATGGTATATGGAATTTTGAATTCTGCTCCATGAAAACCAGGTGCCCAAAATTGAGATTTTGTAATGCCTAGTCAGCTCAATCCTTAATTTGATCTGGCCCTACTAGACTGACCTTCAACAAGGACGTTTCAAATGACAGACACTGCAATCTTTGATTTGACTTGGAAAATTCTGTCCATGCTTTAGTTATGAGAAGTTTTCTGAGGAGTTCTTAAAAGTCCCAGCCCTGCCTCAGAGCCTGATTTCCATAAAATAAGTGAAAATGAATAATTTGACCTGAGCCCTAGTCCCATCTAGGTATCAGGATCTCAGTTTTCAATTAATAGGCTATAATTATTATCTATTAATTAGCTAAAAAAAAACCAAACTAACCCACAACAACACAAGAATGCAAACAAACAAAATTGGATGTACAAAATGGTAGGCAACAGTCAAAGCACAGCAGCAAAACTTCATCCACCACCTGTGCAAAACTGGTAAGAATTCTTCAGTGAAGGCTGGAGAAAGACAGACTCCACCCAGGCAGTGAAAATACAGACTAATTGTAAAAAAAATCCCAAGAAAGCAATCACACTATTGTTTGCCACATGGAAGGTCTTCCCAGTTTGCTACTGCACAAAAGAAAAGAAACAGTTAATGGACATCTTTGAGAACAGGAATCCAGGTTCCCGCACAGGCCAGTTATTCATATATGTACTCTTATCATCATTAATAAAATCTAAATCTTACCAATGCAACTGACTTGTAAAACCCATTCAACTGTCTGCACAAACTTACAGCCATATCTTCATACCCACGGAAATACTTGACATTGCCTGTTTGTCTATAGCTTCCGTGCTACCTGGGCACATGGCAAATAACTACAGGCCCAGGACTTCGCTGCTGCTTATATTTCTGAATAGCAAAAAGCTACAGATGACTACCTACAAAATAATAGCAATGGCAGGGCTTGTAGCCATATTAAGAAATACTAACAAGAAGGACTATCAAGAAATACTATCTAGCAGGACAACATTATGCTGGCTAACAGATCTAGGGAAGGAAACACATCAGGATAAGGAAGGCATTTAATTCATTAAACTTAACTGGGAAATCAACAGGCTAAGTTGAGCTTGAGAATTTTAGCTTCAGCATGGTCATCTTGCGCTAAAAGCTATAGATCTACCAAATGATCAGACAGAAAAACACATGCTTTAGAAAACCAGTTCTTATGGAAAAATTATATCAGCAAAGAAATTAAAAAAAAAAAATAGCAGTCAGCAGTTCACCCTCATCAGATTCAGAAGGATGTAGATGCTGGATCATGGGGAAATGCAAGAGAGATGCCCAAAAGACCCTTGTGTAAAGGTATTCAGGAAAAAAAGTGACTAGTATGAAGAAATGAGGGAACCCATGAAAGCTACTGAACGTTGAGTTGTGAATTAAAGCAACCTGGTTTAATGTTGGAGAGAAGATGGCATAATTAGTAGACAAGAATGAAAGGCTTTCTGGTTTTCTCCCCATGTGCTAATGTTAGCATGGGAACAAGGAATGGCTGAAGTAACGCAAGCATTGCCTAGGAATTTTGCATACTGTGATTTAATCATCAAATTGACATCTAATGTACATGTACAGACACAGCGTCATCATAATTTCATTATTCTTTGAGATGCACCATCCTTCCATTATTCAGCTAAAGGTCTGACACTACCATGTAGGACAACAGTTTGAGAAGCTGTCTGGATACCCTTAAGAAGTTGCTAGGAAAGTTACCGTAATGTAAATGCTTCAGTCATTGTGCATTCAAACTGGGAACTAGGGGACAATGATATATTAAGCCTTAATAGCTGCCGATTAAATCAGACATAGTTTGGGCCTAATTATTTCTGGTTGCAGCCCAGTCCTGTCAAGTTTATAACGTTACTTGTAGCTGCTGCTACCACACTGACCTCTAGCTTGGTAACCACTGGCATAACCAAAGTTAAAGCTGAGCAAACCATCATGGCTAGGACAGCCTGCACAGGGGAGGGCTAACGCAGAGAAAACAAGGAACAAAAAAACCCCACCAAAATGCAGAGTGGATGCTTGTCTTCCCCAGGGGAAAACTTCCTCAAGACAAGAAAAAACGCAGCAAGCCCCAGAGTCACGAATTCCTTTGTAGCTCCCCAAATAATGTTGACTTTAGCAGACCAGCCAGACCAGGAGAGGCAGAGGAGCTCAAAGGCCTCTGTGCTTGTCTAGGCAACCCACGGGCTGCACAAAAGTCATGGTCACATTTACAGAGACTACAGGTACAGTCCAAATAAATAGTAGTTTATAATGGTCTGTCTATACTGTAACAGTAGTCAAAGCAGATAAACACATGCTCAATTCTTCTTTCTCAAGCTACTAGCAAAAGAATAACGGTATTGCAGCCACGTGCTAGATCTGTGCCTCAGTATTACATGTTAAATAATAACCAGCTCCCCATGCAGTTTTGGAATACTTAAGTTCTAAAGACATTGCATCCTTGGGGACAGACTACTATACCTGTGAAGAGCTGGGAGCTAAAGATATGATTTGAGTCACAGTAATGGACCAGAAACTCCAAACAAAACTCAATACTTGATGTTTGTTTAGTGCCCCAAATCTTAAGATCTGATGGATGAACCCAACAGAGTACTTCAGTAAGCACTCAGCTCAGAAAACTGGGCTCAGTTTGTGGCAGAGGCTAAACACTTCCTCAGGATCATACTTAGCTATCTTCACTTTTTTTTAATTGTTAAGTGTGTCAGCCTTTAAACAAACTGTTAGCTTACACAGTTAGTACAGTACAATCAAAAAACCACATCAGGTCTGGACAGATTACTTAGGCAGAGGAAATAAGCTTAGTGATCAGAACCCAAGCCTGGAAGTAGCAGCAGGATTTCTTCTTATTGGACTTAGAGCTTTCCTTCACTGAAATGCGATTCTGGTTATAACCCAACTTTGCCCCAGCTCCCCCCACAAATACACATTTAAGCATGGTGAAGCTTTTAGCACGAGACTGCTGAGTTTAAGGCCTTCAGGTATATACAAGCGGGTATATGCCATCTGAAATGAATATGCTTTATCAGCTACCAACAGCAGCTTTGCACAGGTGAAACTCCCTCCTCTCCCCATACCCTTCACATTCCATTTCAGCTATGTTTCACACTACATTGCAAGACGATTAATAAAATACATCAGTTCAGGAATACTTCTAAATGCAGAACTGGAACACCTATCATGTGTCCCTGAGAAGGCTTGGAATTGCCATAAAGCACATATTTTGAAGTGTGGTTACCGCCAATGCGAGAGTTGAATCCCACAGAGTTAATTCAGTGCAAGTAACCAACACGTGCTTGCTTCTGGCACTGCACAGTTGATTACCGTAGTTTTTCCGTTTCTACAGCAGCTAGTAAAGTAGCATCTCACTTATGAAAATTCTGTAATATAAACCAAGACACCTGTTAACCCAGAATACATTCTATTGCACATTTAGTAGAAGACATTTTAAAAGTCCATCTGAAAATTATAGTCTTTGTGAAAACTTTGGCCAAAAAATTCCAGTGGCCAGACTCTTGTCAAGACTGTCAGTCGTTCCCATCCAAACTAATGCTGTGCAACTGTGTTACTGCAACAGGTATGAAAAATTATGAATGTACATTCTGCTGAGTCATCAGCAGAAATAATGGCAGTAATTAAATATTTTTTTTTTTCCTTTTTCTTACGCCTGGAGTACCTCTAAATGCCTGCTGCAACAGCCATTCGGGTTACCTGAAATTCTGAAGCATCCTGAAAACAGCTTTCAACCAGAGTTCAGACAATTAAAAGTTTTGCAATAGCTGTATGGGCACCAGCACAGCAAATTTAAGCCTACTTACTTTTCTGGCTGGCTTTTCCTGGTTACTTTCACTGATCCCTTCTAAGGAGTTCAAAACGTTCCCACAGTTCACAGACCAGAAGTTGAAAAATACTGACATAGGGAAAGCCAGAATCTTATCCTTTGCCAGAAAATTGGGGGGGGGAGGAGGAAAGGAAGGGGGGGGAAGTGCCAGAAAACTGGGGGGGAAGAATAATTCAATCAAGATTTTGGAAAGGTTTTGCAGATCTTTGGGTTGACGCTAGTAACAAAGCGCAAAGCAGTTATTTCTTGTTACTACAAGACTTCTCTCGGACCGTCGCTCGGACCTAAACTGACAGCCGGCAGCCTGAAGCCGGAGGGTTGCGGTCGCTCGACGAGGAAAAGAC